TTTTCGATTATTAATTTTAATTAATAATGTCATGTTTTTTGGTTTATTTTTAAAACATAAAAAATAAAACATATTTTTAGCCAATTATACAATAAATTACCCATTAAGTACATGTTAAATTAATAACTGAACAAAAAAGAGAACAAAAAATAAATATTAACAATATACAAATAAATTAATTAAAAATATTCGTTGTAAGTGAAACTATACATATAATCAGCATCATCGTCATTATTGTTTAAAAATACACATTTATTAATACAAATGAAAGTAAGTGTTGGTAAATATTGTTTTTTTTTTTTGTTAATATTTTTTTTAAATTTATATTTGACATTTGAAATTTGTGTGTCTGTGTGAACGTTGAAAACTGACCTAAATATATGTCAAATGTTTTTTTTCGATTTTTTTAGGTTTTCATTTTATTATTATTACAATTTATATAAATTTCAATTAATATTTTATTTTGTATTTGTTTATTAATTTAAAATTTATCATTTTTTTGTTCAATTTATTAGTTATTTAATACCTGTTCTTGGCAAAACAATATCCATATGAAATATTATACAAAAAATTGTTATTTTATTTCATTATTTCATTTAAAAATATTTATTTAATATTAATTTTTATATACTTTTTTAATTCTTATTTGTTGTAAAATATTTAGTAAGTTTTATTATAGTTTATATGTAAAAAATGTTAAGCAGTGTTTAATTAGTTGTTCTCATCTTTCTTCAGCTTTAAAGTTCTTTTAGTAAGTAATTTATTTGTGATATTTTTATATTTTTATATAATTTCTTAGCAAAATTATAGTTCTGAATAATGTTGTGGTTTTTGTGTATGTAAAATGTATTATTTTTTCTTGTTAGCGAAACCTTTGATAATAAAGCTTTAATATACAAAAGAATTTTTTAATTGAACTTAAATGGAAATTAGTTTTTGAAAGAATTTGAAAATTTTAAACTGAATTTTAAGAGTTTTATTTAATTTTTTTTCAGCAAAAAGGCACCAGGGAATAAGTTTAGCTCAAAAATTTGTGTCTGTGTGTAGTACTAAAACAACATTAAAGAAATGTAAACAAAAATTTACAGTATGCTGATAAAAAAAAGACAGAACAGAACTATAAAATAGAAAAGAACTAGAACAGAAATAAAACAGAACTAGAACAGAACTAGAACAGAACTAGGACAGAACTAAAACAGAACTAGAACAGAACTAGAACAGAACTAGAACAGAACTAGAACAGAACTAAAACAGAACTAGAACAGAACTAGAACAGAACTAGAACAAACTAGAACAGAACTAGAACAGAACTAGAACAGAACTAGAACAGAACTAGAACAGACTAGAACTGAACTAGAAAGAACTAGAACTGAACTACTGAACTAGAACTGAACTAGAACTGAACTAGAACACTAGAACAGAACTAGAACAGAACTAGAACAGAACTGGAACAGAACTAGAACAGAACTAGAACAGAACTAGAACAGAACTAGAACAGAACTAGAACAGAACTAGAACAGAACTAGAACAGAACTAGAACAGAACTAGAACAGAACTAGAACAGAACTAGAACAGACCTAGAACAGAACTAGAACAGAACTAGAACAGAACTAGAACAGAACTAGAACAGAACTAGAACAGAACTAGAACAGAACTAGAACAGAACTAGAACAGAACTAGAACAGAACTAGAACAGAACTAGAACAGAACTAGAACAGAACTAGAACAGAACTAGAACAGAACTAGAACAGAACTAGAACAGAACTAGAACAGAACTAGAACAGAACTAGAACAGAACTAGAACAGAACTAGAACAGAACTAGAACAGAACTAGAACAGAACTAGAACAGAACTAGAACAGAACTAGAACAGAACTAGAACAGAACTAGAACAGAACTAGAACAGAACTAGAACAGAACTAGAACAGAACTAGAACAGAACTAGAACAGAACTAGAACAGAACTAGAACAGAACTAGAAACAGAACTAGAACAGAACTAGAACAGAACTAGAACAGAACTAGAACAGAACTAGAACAGAACTAGAACAGAACAGAACTAGAACAGAACTAGAACAGAACTAGAACAGAACTAAAGAACTAGAACAGAACTAGAACAGAACTAGAACAGAACTAGAACAGAACTAGAACAGAACTAGAACAGAACTAGAACAGAACTAGAACAGAACTAGAATAGAACTAGAACAGAACTAGAACTAGAACAGAACTAGAACTAGAACAGAACTAGAACAGAACTAGAACAGAACTAGAACAGAACTAGAACAGAACTAGAACAGAACTAGAACAGAACTAGAACAGAACTAGAACAGAACTAGAACTAGAACAGAACTAGAACAGAACTAAAGAACCTAGAACAGAACTAGAACAGAACTAGAACAGAACTAGAACAGAACTAGAACAGAACTAGAACAGAACTAGAACAGAACTAGAACAGAACTAGAACAGAACTAGAACGAACTAGAACGAACTAGAACAGAACTAGAACAGAACTAGAGCAGAACTAGAACGAAACTAGAACAGAACTAGAACAGAACTAGAACAGAACTAGAACAGAACTAGAACAGAACTAGAACAGAACTAGAACAGAACTAGAACAGAACTAGAACAGAACTAGAACAGAACTAGAACAGAACTAGAACAGAACTAGAACAGAACTAGAACAGAACTAGAACAGAACTAGAACAGAACTAGAACAGAACTAGAACAGAACTAGAACAGAACTAGAACAGAACTAGAACAGAACTAGAACAGAACTAGAACAGAACTAGAACAGAACTAGAACAGAACTAGAACAGAACTAGAACAGAACTAGAACAGAACTAGAACAGAACTAGAACAGAACTAGAACAGAACTAGAACAGAACTAGAACAGAACTAGAACAGAACTAGAACAGAACTAGAACAGAACTAGAACAGAACTAGAACAGAACTAGAACAGAACTAGAACAGAACTAGAACAGAACTAGAACAGAACTAGAACAGAACTAGAACAGAACTAGAACAGAACTAGAACAGAACTAGAACAGAACTAGAACAGAACTAGAACAGAACTAGAACAGAACTAGAACAGAACTAGAACAGAACTAGAACAGAACTAGAACAGAACTAGAACAGAACTAGAACAGAACTAGAACAGAACTAGAACAGAACTAGAACAGAACTAGAACAGAACTAGAACAGAACTAGAACAGAACTAGAACAGAACAGAACAGAACAGAACTAGAACAGAACTAGAAACAGAACTAAACGAACTAGAACAGAACTAAACAGAACTAGAACAGAACAGAACAGAATAGAACAGAACTAGAACAGAACTAGAAACAGAACTAGAACAGAACTAGAACAGAACTAGAACAGAACTAGAACAGAACTAGACAGAACTAGAACAGAACTAGAACAGAACTAGAACAGAAACTAGAACAGAACTAGAACAGAACTAGAACAGAACTAGAACAGAACTAGAACAGAAACTAGAACAGAACTAGAAACAGAACTAGAACAGAACTAGAACAGAACTAGAACAGAACTAGAACAGAACTAGAACAGAACTAGAACAGAACTAGAACAGAACTAGAAACAGAACTAGAACAGAACTAGAACAGACTAGAACAGAACTAGAACAGAACTAGAACAGAACTAGAACAGAAACTAGAACAGAACTAGAACAGAACTAGAACCCCAGAAGAACTAGAACAGAACTAGAACAGAACTAGAACTAGAACTAGAACAGAACTAGAATAGAACTAGAACAGAACTAGATACAGAACTAGAACAGAACTAGAACAGAACTAGAACAGAACTCGAACAGAACTAGAACAGAACTAGAACTAGAACTAGAACAGAACTAGAACGGAACTAGAACAGAACTAGAACAGAACTAGAACAGAACTAGAACAGAACTAGAACAGAACTAGAACAGAACTAGAACAGAACTAGAACAGAACTAGAACAGAACTAGAACAGAACTAGAACAGAACTAGAACAGAACTAGAACAGAACTAGAACAGCACTAGAACAGAACTAGAACAGAACTAGAACAGAACTAGAACGGTGTTGAAATGTTCTTTTTATGCAGCATCTACTGTTTTTTACGTTCAAAAAAATTTTTGCAACAAATCTTACTTAAAAAAGATATTCAAAATGAAATTATTGAATAAAACAATCGCTAAAAGTTTTAAGAACGTATGACTAAAAAAAATTCATTTTAGAAATCAGACATTTCAATAGCTTTTCATCTAAAAAACAGTTATTGTCAAAACGTGAATATGCAGGTTTTAGATGTTAAAGTTATGAGTTAGAAGATTTTAGATTTTTTTTAAGATTTATATGACTATATGTAGGTGATTATACCGATAAAACCTAAAAAATAAATGGATTTTTTTTGCTTTTTTATTTTGTGTTTTTTTTAAGGATTTCAATATGAGGTTTATGTTTTTTTTTTAGGATATATATTTTATTTAGACGTTTTTTTGTGTTTTTGTGTTGTATATATTTAAGTGAGTGAAATGACAGGTCAATAGTAGGATATAGTTTTTTTTGTTTTGTTTGTTAGAGGTACTTAATTTATGACACATTTAGAATGAAAATACATTTAGGAAGAAACTTAGTAAATGATTATATACAAACTTAAAATGAGTGGTTTAGGTTAGGTTGAAGCAACTTCTTTTGATAACTTATGATTAATACAACTATTTAGGGTGATTTTTGACCTTTGTAAGTAAAGGATTATTTTTTAAAAAATGTACATTTAATTTTTGAGTTTAATTTGATTTTTTTTAAATTTATTTTTAGAATTTTTGTTTAAATTTTGTTTGTTAAACATTTTAGTTAAGCCTAAAAGTAGACTTTATTTTTATGGTTTATTTAATGCCTAAAACTAAACTCTTACTAAAAGCTTAAGTTTAAAAAAATCTTTCTAAAAACTATTAGCTTAATTTATAGTTCAATTCATTTTTTTTAGTTTTTTTCAACTTTACAAAAAAAAAAAAATTCAATTCTTAATTGATATTTTAATTTTCCATTAGTGATATTTTTGTTGCTGTTGTTGTAAGTGTTAAATTCGTAACTATAATTTAATAAGTCATTAAGGTTGGTTTAAATCCTAAATTTTTTCTTTGCAAAAACAAATGTATTTCTCTAAAATTAGGACGATTTGCTTCATTGCGCTGCCAACATTCACACATTAAATCATAAATTTCACGGGGACAATTCGCCGGTATGGGTAAAAGTTGCTGTAAATTAAATTTAAAACTTCATAAAATATATATTTTTATTTAAACTTCATAAAATAAACTTACATATTGATTATCATCTTGATAGATATGTCCTATATTTTCTATAACTTTAGCATCATTTAAATGTTCATACGGCTGTTCTCGCGCAAATGTTAATATTTCCCATAGTGTTACCGCAAACGACCAGACATCTGATTTTGAGTTAAATTTACCCTAAAATTAGCAAGAAAAAATTAAATTAAAACATTTATTTATCTCCTTAAAAACTTATTTTCCCTTAATCTACTCTAACTCTTTCATTATCCTCTACATTTATTTCTCTTTTTTTACTGCTAGCCTTTACGAAAAAACAACACTTTATAATTTTCAAGTTTAAAACGCACTTTAACCATAAATTACTCAACTAAAATTAACTTTATTTTTTTAATCAAATATTATCCTTGAAACATTTTTAAAATCATATACATATATATATACCATTGTTATTCACAAAAAAGAATAATAAACATCAGCAGAAATAAAACTAATGGCCTTTTATATGAAATATATGGCATGCACTCACACACACACACATACTCTCATATCCCTGACTGTAGCGTAAAAAAGGATAAATTCCCAAAAGCGAAAAAAGAAATAACCACACTAAATAAATTAATTAACTACACGATAACAAGCAAAAACGCACACGTTTACATACTTGACTATGTATTTCTGTTGTTGTTTACGTAAAAAGGAAACGGAACAATGCAGACATACTCACAGAAATACTTATGTTCCACTATGCACGCATTCTTTCATATACATATATAGAGAGAGACATACACCAGAGAATTCTTAACGTATCAAGAAGAATGGCGTACAATCATACTTATATACATACATAAGACCAAATATAAACAATGTCAAAAGAATGTAGCTGCAAATAAAGTAAAGTATGTTGAACCCTACTACTACTATAAGGATCCAAATGAACAAGAACAGAACTGGAACAGAACTACAACAGAACTAGAACAACAACTAGAACAGAACTAGAACAGAACTAGAACACAACTAGAACAGAACTAGAACAGAACTAGAACAGAACTAGAATAGAACTAGAACAGAACTAGAACAGAACTAGAACAGAACTAGAACAGAACTAGAACAGAACCAGAACAGAACTAGAACAGAACTAGAACAGAATTAGAACAGAACTAGAACAGAATTAGAGCAGAACTAAAACAGAACTAGAACAGAACTAGAACTAGAACAGAAGTAGAACAGAACTAGAACAGAACTAGAACAGAACTAGAACAGAACTAGAACAGAACTAGAACAGAACTAGAACAGAACTAGAACAGAACTAGAACAGAACTAGAACAGAACTAGAACAGAACTAGAACAGAACTAGAACAGAACTAGAACAGAACTAGAACAGAACTAGAACAGAACTAGAACAGAACTAGAACAGAACTAGAACAGAACTAGAACAGAACTAGAACAGAACTAGAACAGAACTAGAACAGAACTAGAACAGAACTATAACAGAACTAGAACAGAACTAGAACAGAACTAGAACAGAACTAGAACAGAACTAGAACAGAACTAGAACAGAACTAGAACAGAACTAGTTCTGAACTAGAACAGAACTAGAACAGAACTAGAACAGTACTAGAACAGAACTAGTTCTGAACTAGAACAGAACTAGAACAAAACTAGAACAGAACTAGAATAGAACTAGAACAGAACTAGAACAGAACTAGAACAGAACTAGAACAGAACTAGAACAGAACTAGAACCGAACTAGAACAGAACTAGAACAGAACTAGAACAGTACTAGAACAGTACTAGAACAGAACTAGAACAGAACTAGAACAGAACTAGAACAGAACTAGAACAAAACTAGAACATAACTAGAACATAACTAGAACATAACTAGAACAGAACTAGAACAGAACTAGAACAGAACTAGAACAGAACTAGAACATAACTAGAACAGAACTAGAACAGAACTAGAACAGAACTAGAACAGAACTAGAACGGAACTAGAACAGAACTAGAACAGAACTAGAACAGAACTAGAACAGAACTAGAACAGAACTAGAACAGTACTAGAACAGAACTAGAACAGAACTAGAACAGAACTAGAACAGAACTAGAACAGAACTAGAACAGAACTAGAACAAAACTAGAACAGAACTAGAACAGAACTAGAACAGAACTAGAACAGAACTAGAACAGAACTAGAACAGAACTAGAACAGAACTAGAACAGAACTAGAACAGAACTAGAACAGAACTAGAACAGAACTAGAACAGAACTAGAACAGAACTAGAACAGAACTAGAACAGAACTAGAACAGTACTAGAACAGAACTAGAACAGAACTAGAACAGAACTAGAACAGAACTAGAACAGAACTAGAACAAACTAGAACAGAACTAGAACAGAACTAGAACAGAACTAGAACAGAACCTAGAACAGAACTAGACATAACTAGAACATAACTAGAACAGAACTAGAACAGAACTAGAACCAGAACTAGAACAGAACTAGAACGGAACTAGAACAGAACTAAGATAGAACAGAACTAGAAACATGAACTAGAACAGAACTAGAACAGAACTAGAACAGAACTAGAACAGAACTAGAACAGAACTAGAACAGAACTAGAACAGAACTAGAACAGAACTAGAACAGAACTAGAACAGAACTAGAACAGAACTAGAACAGAACTAGAACAGAACTAGAACAGAACTAGAACAGAACTAGAACAGAACTAGAACAGAACTAGAACAGAACTAGAACAGAACTAGAACAGAACTAGAACAGAACTAGAACAGAACTAGAACAGAACTAGAACAGAACTAGAGCAGAACTAGAGCAGAACTAGAACAGAACTAGAACAGAACTAGAACAGAACTAGAACAGAACTAGAACAGAACTAGAATAGAACTAGAACAGAACAGAACTAGAACAGAACTAGAACAGAACAGAACTAGAGCAGAACTAGAACAGAACTAGAACAGAACTAGAACAGAACTAGAACAGAACTAGAACAGAACTAGAACAGAAACTAGAAACAGAACTAGAACAGAACTAAAACAGAACAGAACTAAAACAGAACAGAACTAAAACAGAACAGAACTAAACAGAACAGAACTAGAACAGAACTAGAACAGAACTAGAACAGAACTAGAACAGAACTAGAACAGAACTAGAAATAATTGCTTCTGGTCTATTTACATATATAAGACAAACAAACACAACCCACTGTAGGGTATTTGACAACATGAACAGAACTAGAACAGAACTAGAACAGAACTAGAACAGAACTAGAACAGAACTAGAACAGAACTAGAACAGAACTAGAACAGAACTAGAACAGAACTAGTTCTGAACTAGAACAGAACTAGAACAGAACTAGAACAGTACTAGAACAGAACTAGTTCTGAACTAGAACAGAACTAGAACAAAACTAGAACAGAACTAGAATAGAACTAGAACAGAACTAGAACAGAACTAGAACAGAACTAGAACAGAACTAGAACAGAACTAGAACCGAACTAGAACAGAACTAGAACAGAACTAGAACAGTACTAGAACAGTACTAGAACAGAACTAGAACAGAACTAGAACAGAACTAGAACAAAACTAGAACATAACTAGAACATAACTAGAACATAACTAGAACAGAACTAGAACAGAACATAGAACAGAACTAGAACAGAACTAGAACATAACTAGAACAGAACTAGAACAGAACTAGAACAGAACTAGAACAGAACTAGAACGGAACTAGAACAGAACTAGAACAGAACTAGAACAGAACTAGAACAGAACTAGAACAGAACTAGAACAGATACTAGAACAGAACTAGAACAGAACTAGAACAGAACTAGAACAGAACTAGAACAGAACTAGAACAGGAACTAGAACAAAACTAGAACAGAACTAGAACAGAACTAGAACAGAACTAGAACAGAACTAGAACAGAACTAGAACAGAACTAGAACAGAACTAGAACAGAACTAGAACAGAACTAGAACAGAACTAGAACAGAACTAGAACAGAACTAGAACAGAACTAGAACAGAACTAGAACAGAACTAGAACAGATAGAACAGAACTAGAACAGAACTAGAACAGAACTAGAACAGAACTAGAACAGAACTAGAACAGAACTAGAACAGAACTAGAACAGAACTAGAACAGAACTAGAACATAACTAGAACATAACTAGAACATAACTAGAACAGAACTAGAACAGAACTAGAACAGAACTAGAACAGGAACTAGAACAGAACTAGAACAGAACTAGAACAGAACTAGAACATAACTAGAACAGAACTAGAACAGAACTAGAACAGAACTAGAACAGAACTAGAACAGAACTAGAACAGAACTAGAACAGAACTAGAACAGAACTAGAACAGAACTAGAACAGAACTAGAACAGAACTAGAACAGAACTAGAACAGAACTAGAACAGAACTAGAACAGAACTAGAACAGAACTAGAACAGAACTAGAACAGAACTAGAACAGAACTAGAACAGAACTAGAACAGAACTAGAACAGAACTAGAACAGAACTAGAACAGAACTAGAACAGAACTAGAACAGAACTAGAACAGAACTAGAACAGAACTAGAGCAGAACTAGAGCAGACTAGAACAGAACTAGAACAGAACTAGAACAGAACTAGAACAGAACTAGAATAGAACTAGAACAGAACAGAACTAGAACAGAACTAGAACAGAACAGAACTAGAGCAGAACTAGAACAGAACTAGAACAGAACTAGAACAGAACTAGAACAGAACTAGAACAGAACTAGAACAGAACTAGAACAGAACTAGAACAGAACTAAAACAGAACAGAACTAAAACAGAACAGAACTAAAACAGAACAGAACTAAAACAGAACAGAACTAGAACAGAACTAGAACAGAACTAGAACAGAACTAGAACAGAACTAGAACAGAACTAGAACAGAACTAGAACAGAACTAGAAATAATTGCTTCTGGTCTATTTACATATATAAGACAAACAAACACAACCCACTGTAGGGTATTTGACAACATGAAAGAGAGTCTCAAACATATGTGTAAACAACATAATTTTTGCTTTTATTGTTGTTAAAATTTTTTTTTTCGTTTTTGGTGAACTAAAAGCCTGAAACAAAACGCAGCAAAACAAAGAAAGAAAAAGTTGGTAATAAAATGTAAAAGTGTATA